CTTCATGTACTTTCATTCGAAATGAAGGTCCCCCTAACATACAACACTTCAAACAAGATGCGTCCAACTAGATCGTCCTGAAAACTCGGCCAAGTTGTGAAAATGAGATCAGACTACTTCTATCAATCGAAAGGAGACTGCGACAAAAATAGGCTCCACAATATCTTGGTCTTCCTACCCGCGTTGCAAAAATGAGGTTAAACCATTTCAATATTAGTTTTATTTTCGGGTTAATTAGGCTTCAAGATTGTTTGTAAGTTTAGAAAATGATTTTAAATTGTCAATCCGCCATCAGCTGGACAAGTTTTAGAATGTCTACAGACCAAGATGTTGTGTCCTTTCGTTGTACCGAAGTTTTTTGACCTTTTTTTCACAACTTGGTCATATTGACAGGAAGAGCTTGAGGAACGCACTTTATCCGACGTCCATTGTATGCATGATAACATCCAAAGTCGGACCGTGGACCTGGTACATTCACAGACGTTACGTGAGTGAGTTTTGCCATTCTCAGCACCAAGCTACAACTGGTCAAAGAGAGAAAGAGCAGTTATAGCAAAAGAGTTTCGACAGAAAATTGGCCAAAGGAATGACTTGCCTTATCTCTGACGCGTTGTAGCTTGGTGCTGAGAATGGCAAAGTTACGTTCCCCTAAGTTTTAGGGTGTCATTAAGGTTTACATTCAGCACCGGCTTGTCACTTTTGTAGCAATGTTACTACTCCCCTCCACTCCACTTCATAAGGCATTCCTAAATCGCATCACTTCCAAGTGAGATATTCCCTTAAGCAAGCATAGTTTTGCCATTTTTACCATTGACATTGCTTATTTAACATGTAAGTAGTCTTCTGGATAATCATTAATTCTTAGACGAGTCAATTTTGTCCAGTTTTTTCCGGCACAACAACACGATGGTGTGAATAGACACCTCGCCACAGTTTACGCTGTATGAAAACGAGCAATGGGCAAGACTGCCGAGGCGAGTCATGCTGAACCGGTGGACCAGAGGAGCCAAATGTACACCGAGCAACCGAACGACCGAGCGACCGGGCAATCGGGTAATCGTCCAATCAGCAGAGTCCACCGATTCGGCTAATTGGGAAGGGGGCCGTAGCCAAGATTCCAGACGAGTCTGGGATGCAGGGCAGGGGGGGATAGCTGGAGGGGGTCGTCGACTGATGGGTCCATTTGGGGCGAAGCTGAAGAGGAGGAGGGAGGCTGGTGGGCTTGTCAGAAAACCGGGCGAGGCGTGGAGAACATGCGTTGTCCGAGGCCGTTAATGCTAGCAGCAAGCAGATGAGAGGCTGAAAGACAGGCGAAAAACAATTTGCTTGTTGTTACTTGCCCCACTTCGCTCTGCCTCTGGCCTGTTGGCAGGGCCATCTTGCAAAAGGTTTATTGTCCATGCGGGCCTTCTGTCGCTTGGCTGACGAGCAGATGTTGGCAAGCCGGGGAAGTCGTGAAACAACAACTCAGCGCTATGCTGCGGTTGCGCCCCATCGTCTCATGGAGGCTGACGATGAGGGGGCAGTGCGACGACGTAAGGAGACGTAAAGGAATGTGTCAAAATAGGGGCTTACTATTCAAAACTCAAATGC